TTAGAAGACTTTCATAAAACAAACAGAAATTGTTTATTAAAATATTGGAGTCTCAAATATTTCCTAGAAGGAGAACAGTAATTTTAAAAAATTTAATCAACTTCAAAAGGTGATCATAACAATCCTATTATTCCAATAATCTATATTTTTACGTCGAAACAAGAAAAAAAAAAGGATTTTAAATTAGTGACTAACTGAATTATAAAGTAGATTTGAAGAATAAGAATACACGACAACAGTTTAGTTTCTGCTTTATCTACAGCATCAAACACACTAGCGTGCGAATGTTTACAAGAAGCAACAAACTATCTCGGCAATTATCGGGGTCCGTGACCTCACACACGGCAACTGAAGCGTGGCAGTAGCTTTTCGCCGTGAGACGACCTTCACAATGAAACGATTACGCCACTCGACTTGACCCTGACCTCCTCCGCGTGCAGCATTGCCCAACGGAAGAGCGCAGTTCTGCGCGGAAAGACTGATTCTTCACACGCTTTTGCAAGCTCCCGGCCTGCTCACGTCGCTTAAGGAAGTGGAGCAAGGACGAACACCCGCGCGCATTTGCGGGCGAAATCAACAGCACCACGCCTACGGTGAAGCCATCGCCCGTAATAATGCAGCTGCCATAAGATATTCGCGGCGGCCATTTCATGGACTGAATTATTCTGACTTCGCTTCGCTTTCTCTTTGTAATTACATGACATTCCCAGCAGACACGTAAGATTTCGTGTCATCGTTCCTTAAAAATTATACGGCTTTATACAGAAAATTGAATTGCTTTTGTGCTTTCCTCTACTAATAATTTTAGTGCAATTAAAACACATTTAAAGTTCACATATTCGATCAGGAAAATGGAGTATTAACTGTCCCAGCGAACGTGACTGCCGAATGTGAATATTTTTTCAATTAGACATATACCCATACAAAAACAGATGGTTATACGATAAAATGCAATGCTATAACCAAATATCACGTATTCAATTAGGTGTACGAGTTTTATTTATTTTCTTCGTGGGGAGTATGAACAACCTTTTTAACAACGCCTGGAAAGGAAAAGTTGTGGCTCAACTTTGAAGCAAATGAGACATTCGCTGAAGAAATTAACTTTTTATAAACCTCATTATCGATCACTTTCCATTGTCTTCAGACAATTTGCCCAAACTTAGACCGAAAATAATGACTAATTACACGAAATGTAACTTCTGAGAAAAGAAGATTAAGTTATTAAAAAAATTCCCGTCAATTTGTGCCCATGACAATTTGTATACCTTGTTCCAAAAGTATGAGTATTTCGGTCATGGAATACAAAACGAAATTATGCATCGGTGTAAAAAAAAATACCAGAATCAAGTAGTTTAGTATAGGTTCGTACAAATGAATCTTGGTTATATTAGTAGATTAAAGTACACTAAAATAATTCATTTATTCGTCACTTGAAGAAAGTTACAAATAAACCAGAGCTTTCCAGAACAGAACCGTTCTTATTTCTCTTTCAGGTCGAAAATAAAAACCAGTGACAATGGCCACGCCAGAGCTCAGTTCCGGTTTAAGCAACGAATTGGAACGGATGGCCCAAGGCCGTGTAATTGTAAATATCACCACCTCTATCAGACACGCGACAAGTAAACACACACCGCATTGTCCTCATCGCCTGCCGACACGCTGCAGCACACCTGCCGGATTTCTGGGCTGAGCCAGGGGTGCAGGGTCACGGAGGGTGGCAGGCAGCACACACGAACACAGCCTCCGCTGTGTGCTTACGCGCTCCGAGTATGATACTAATGCTCATTATGATTGTTTACGTATATATTTGGCCCTTTAGTTTAGAACAGACCTTTTCAACTATTATTAGATTTATTAATAATTCTGCAATTAAGTGTGAGAACTTGGTGGCAGAATAC